TGTCACAAAGCTCGAATCATTTCAAATTGGTTTCTTGAACATAACAATGAGTTCACTGTACTAAAATGGCCCCCACAGTCACCAGATCTCAACCCAAAAGAGCATCTTTGGGATGTGGTGGAATGGGAGCTTCGTGGCCTGGATGTGCATCCCACAAATCTCCATCAACTGCAAGATGCTATCCTATCAATATGGGCCAACATTTCTAAAGAATGCTTTCAGCACCTTGCTGAATCAATGCCACATAGAATTAAGGCAGTTCTGAAGGCGAAAGGGGGTCAAACACCGTATTAGTATGGTGTTCCTAATAATCCTTTAGGTGAGTGTATGTCTGAATTTAACTGTAACGAATTAGCTAATGTGGGATCCCATCTATGTTCCTTGTGATAGATCCCACATGGCTACTGATCCCCAAAGTATAATTATTTTGTAGCGTTTTGTTCCATTTTGCAACAGCCGTAAACAAAAGCTGGAATAAGGCCGTTTCATACTGTAAGTTACACCAGAACACAAACTCCCAAGCAATCTATGAAAGACAGGTAAAGGTATAACTACAATTTCACATAGCAAATAAATGAATCACCAGAAAGTAGATATATGGTACAAACTGGTGGCATTGCAATGCTCACCAACAGGGGCAGACGTTCATACATTACAGTGAGCAGATCTGTGCCAAGTGTACAAATATATTTGAGGAGTTAGCTTTTAATGATCAGTCTATTATCAATTTAAATGCAGTTTGGTTTGGACAACAATTACCTAGTTATACTGACAGAGGACTTAGGGATGTTAGTGTTTATTAACTGTAAACTAGCAAAGGACAGCAAGGATTTCACTGCTATTACTGACTGTTAAAATACTCTGAGCTTCAGGCATCACCGGGTGAAAGAAACAAACTGTTAAACAAAGGGTCTGGGTCAGGAACAATTATTTAAGCTTGGTGACGTTTTGACTAACACCAGATAGCTTGTGCGCATTAAATAAAGCAAATGAACATCCTATCTTAAATGTTAAGTTTCACAGTAGGACCCTGCAGAGGGTTCAAGCTCTGTGGAGAATTTCCAGGTCATCATGGTGAAAAGCAAAGCTGCACACCAGCCAGAAACAAAGCCCGTGGCGACCGGCAGGAGGCAACCCATGAGAGAAGGCTGGAGATAACATCTCCACCTAGAGCCAAAGGATTAGGTATCATTAACCCAGGCACAGGGAATGGATTCATTTAACTTCCAGCAAAGTCCTCAGGGAGACACTGTACTGTTTTGAGGTCTGAAATAAGTGAGATAAATATAGTTCAATCTATGAAAACACAGACATCTAATAAACCCTGTGGCAGATGGTAGAGGATTTAAGCCTTAGAGAATTATGGCTATTCCCTGAAAAAACGAGCAGTATGATATTTCCTGCCACATAATTACCACCAGGGGGTGTCAGTGGTTCTCTGCTGTGGAACGTTACTCGGGCTGAAATTTCCTAGCCAACGTGAGCAGGAAGGGCTCACTCTCCACTCACCACCATAACAGTGATGGCCATTCACCACTCAGCACCATAACAGTGATGGTCACTCACCACTCAGCACTGTAACAGTGATGGTCACTCACCACTCAGCACTGTAACAGTGATGGTCACACCACCATAACAGTGATGGGGTCACTCACCACTGCAACAATGATGGGGTTAGGGTTAGGGGTCATGAAGGTGAACCTCTGAAGTTTTCTTCAACTTTACACAACTACACAAAGAAAATATGACAGCATCCTTTTTCAGTAACACCCAGCTCAATAGCTACCCACATAAATGAGGTTCTATCAAATATTGTGAACATTAAAGGAAGAAATAAGGGTCTGCAGACATTAAGGTTATTGAAATATCTTTAATAACGGCTACATTAACTGACGAAGTCACTGCTAATGGGGAATGTTTAACAACCCAGTTCAGGTAATATGCATCATGTGCTACTTCTCTGTAGGAGTAATAATCAGTCATTTTATTATGACATTTCCTCTTTCTGTCCATTAAAGACTCAATGGTAAACAGTCCAGCACAATTCACATACCAATGCAGTGCCAAACTACCGATGCATGTTCATTATTTTTGTATTTGATGATATTTCAGGTTTTTTGGTTTAGCTGGATGTAGGGCCAAAAGTACAAATGAAATCAAAGAGACCCAATGAAATGTGAATGTGAATGCACACAGCAAATAAAAATGATTACTGAACGTTTCTCCACAACTGATGTGTAATTTTTTCGTTTTTGGCCCAGATGATGAGATACGATTAGCTACTGGGGAACAGTCTGAGCATGGCGGACCCACCCACACCTCACACAGACCTTAAATCCATATACGCTGCAACATTCAGGCCTTTATCATACTATTCATCAGTGTCATTGACCAACATGGTATTATAGAAAATGCAGATCAGTAACCTACTCAATTTTACTCAAAAAACTAAAAAATGAATGCTAGAAAAACATTTCTTGCTTTTTTTTTTTTGGGGGGGGGGGTACATTTAGAACACACAGACAAGTGGGACAAAGTGCAATCTGTTATACCGTGGTAGCTTTCTGCAAGCAAATTTATTACAAAAAGGGTTACAGTGTTTATGTCCATCATAGCAAAACGAACGAAACATGGACTTGAGTGCACTTCATTGTCTACGAGCAGGAAGTGGACAGCAGCCGCCCACACAGAAATGGCACGCGTCGCTGTTAGATGACGTCAGACAGCTAAGCGGGGGGAGACAAAGGCGGGCACATGGTAGTGCTGGCCCTTTGTCCCACATTAGCGTGAGGCTAAAACGTACACAGTGCCAAGCGATAGCTGTACTGTATTGCCCTGTGATGCGGTTTGGTAGCTCGTTGTTGCATGTTAATTAGATATAAATTAGTCCAGCGCTGAGCCGTACAGCACATGCAGACTAGCGTTCAGGGAGGGGCTGTACATTCAGCGATGCTTCTCAGCAATAAATACATGGTTATCATGATATTAGTGTGGAAAATTGTTAGTTTACAACAGTTATCTGGTTGTGTGTGTTTTTTTGTTGTGCTAACCTTTCCAGGTTTGGCATCAATAAAATAAAATATAGTTTGACGTAACATTATTCACATAAAATAAAATACAAGACAAATACACAAGGCCATTAGCATTCCAATCTCGCTCAATATTAAACACTCTTCATCCTTAACAATATTTTACAACACGTTAAATAATTGGCGCTGTAGCGTAGCGTCGTAGCATTACGTAGCGCCGTGCAGCATGTCTGAACCCGACCCCCGGCAGGGCCCTTCACTCCAGACTATCTCTTGGAGACCTTGGCCAGTTTGCTAATGGCAGGCGACCTCTTCTGGGGTGTGGGGATTTTCGAGGGTTTCCCCGCATGGGGGCGGGCGCCGCCCCGGGGGCTTGGCCGGCCAGAGTCGGTCACGGTCTCAGACATGTCGGAGCAGACAGACTGGATATCAGAGATGTCGAAGTCAGATGCGTCGCTGCCCCTGCGGCTGCTTCCTCGGCTGCCAGCTTTGCTTCCGGGCCGACTGGGCGTCCGTCTATAGTCTGGGGGGCAGACGGGGGGTGGGGGGGGGGTGATCAGGGTATGTGATACGAAAAGTTGCCGATACAGCACACCCATGCAATCAAATACCCAGTTATAAAAATGGTGAAGTGAATTTAAGCAGCTATAATCTGAAAATATGAAAAGCATGTAGAGCTGCATAAAGAATCATGGTAATGTTCAGCACCACAGGTCTAGAAATACTACTGTCAAAGTGGGTTTGCAGAACCACTACACTTGACCAGAAACCAGAGACATGAGAGACAGCACGGACCTGTGGATCTGGCTTTGGTGACTGCAGCGGATATCAGCGCTCCCTCATCCCCAGACTGGAATCCCTTTCCCGACAGATACCCGGGGAGGCGGAGCTTGCTGCCTTGAATTGGCGTGCTCTGCAAAAACAGGAGCGAGGGATTCAAGGTCCGAGTGGTGGAGGGCAGTGGGTCTGAGGTTGCTATACTGGCTGCTACTAGACATGGTGGAGATGTTTTAACCACCCGCTGAGATCACATTCTAACCAGAATCTCAGGAAAAGCACACTATCATTCATATAAAAAGATGAAATGTATTTTGAATGTAGCACGTTTGTTGGAATGGACAACAATAACATTTAAGCCAAACACGTCGCTGGTGTAAAAATAAAATATGACCGTTAGCAAACTGCCCTTTCACTGTCACGGGTCTTTCAATAATTCTAAGGGTGAAGATGTTAACGTTGACCAATGCTTTCATGTAATAAAGAAGGGAAGAGACATGCAATGAGGACAAACGCTGCAAATGCTGGATGAACGGAGGAGTACGGAAAGGCAAACATAGACATTGCTGACCCACTTCTTATCGCAGTCGAGGCAGAGAGATTCACACAGAGCGCCTGCTGCTCTAGGGGTTAGTTTTTTGAGGTGCAAAACCCATTATGCAGCTGAAATCCACCAAACAACGAACTGTCCTTCATAGAGATGTCATGGAATGAAGGTGCTACAGCGTGAGTCTGCAGCTGCTCACAGTGGAGCGGAAGACGAGTGGGTGGATGGATGGATGGACGGACATGACAGAAAAAGAGAGCCTGTTTATTTGAACAATGGAGTGGATTAATGTCTCTGGGGTCTTAGGCTCCCCTATGTGGGTCCCTAGAACTACTTTTTGGAGCCAAAAGAAAGATGAGGGGGAAAAAAACAATTTGGGGAAAATTTGCTGCTGGGTGTTTGCAACGGCTGATTGGTTGGCCAGATTTCTGCAGATAGGCTGGGCACATGGCAGTGCATCTGTGAACCTTTGGACAGTGTTTGGAGACTTCAGCTGAACAAGGAGGGAGCATCTTAGTGCCTGTTTGGTTAGAAAGGTGGTCTAACGGCGCCCCGCCCAGCGCACATCTTCAATATACCTCTGTAGATGAACCTTGGCTTTCAAAGGAGTCGGAGGATTTAAGGCTGGCTTTGCTGTTTGTCAGCCACGGTTTATCATAATTGCGCGTTAAGTGTTGGGTGGTCTGTGAGGAACAATGGCAAATCAAAACACAAAAGGGCTTTAAGGGAGAGATGGCAAAGGGAGAGAAGACAACTGGCTGAATTAAAGTAAACATGGGAAATGGGGAGAAGCAAAAAAACAAATGGAAGAAGGACAGTTTATAGACAGGACGAATGTGGCGAGGAAAGTGACAGGACACAGAACAGCGGGAGACATTTCAAAATGAATGGATGAACTATTCATGGAAATGATATTATAATGATAATCAAACTTGTTTCTGACTGGCAGTTCAAGAAAAAAAAGAATGAGAATAACATCAATCCATGACAGGCATCTTTTACATAAGAAATACTAAAGAAATTCAAAATGACAGCCATTTTTAAGTTAAATATAAAAGTAAACGTTCAGATGTGATGTACAAGGGCGCCCTCTAGAGGTGCAAACCTGCTACAATGTCAGATTTATTCCAAAGCCAGCTTTGGTCGACAAAAGGTGTAAAAGTGTCCATCTCTATGTAAGTCCTACAACAAAGTGATCATGGGGTATCTAGTGAGGCTGGCTAGTGTCCATCAGAACATCACGGCTCACAGTTTCCTCTCACCTTGGGGTTGCTTGTCATCGCTGGGTTCGGCTGGGTCTGACAGCTCTGGCTAGAGTTTGACCGAGTGGGGGAAGCTGCTCTGGAAGAGGGTCGTGACCTCCGACCCCTGTACCTGAAGCTAGCCATCACCTGCGTGGTGCCTTCAGGAAGGATAAACTTCTCACGAAGCTCCATGTTGGTTCTCCCTTTGGCTGGTAACAGTAACACACGCAGAGTGTCAGGGTCCCTCTGGGAGCTGCACGTCCCACCCAGCTGCAAACATCACTTTTCACATCTGTGACTGCTGCCTGCTTCATAAGAAAGCAGATCTGCTCAAGTGAGCCTCAGATCAGTGGACACAGTCAGAGTTTGGGACAGGAAGCCAACAGCACAATGTGAATGAAAGGCATGCATTTTCACATCACCATGTTGACAGGAAATGGATCCACATCCCCTTCGCCGGGACACTAAAACACACCACGTCTGTAAAACTATCATACAACCACTCTGGCCTAGACCCACACGGAAGAGTGATGAACCATGTGATGGTCCCACAGAGTTCCCCCAAGTGTCAATATGACCCCAAGCTGACTGCATAACCAAGAAATCCTCTGGGGGGAAGCAATTAAGGAATCATTGGTCCTATAGTTGCCCTGCGATGGGCTGGCCCCCCGTCCTGGGTTGTTCCCTGCCTCGTGCCCGTTGCTTCTGGGATATGCTCCGGACCCCCCGCGACCCAGTAGGATAAGCGGGTTGGACAATGGATGGATGGATGGTCCTATAGTTTCTGACAAAAAATATTTAATTACTAACATTTCAATTTGTCAAACAGGAATTCTCTGGCACCATTTTAGCAAATGTTCCTGCATTCACATTCTAACTTGGGCATCACACCTAATCCAGTGTGGGTGACAGTGGGAAGCCCAGTGTCTGAAGCGATGGGGATGTGTTTTCAGCATTACATTCTGCACTTTAAATTTCCCAGCAACCTTCCCCTGCTATATGATGTCACCTGTGATGTTTTACTGAATTATGCACTCAAATGTACTACAAGAAGCCCAGCTACTACAACAGACGGGCTGCCAGGCCCCAGCATCGCAGGATACACCCCTCTGTTCTATGTCAGACTCTAAAATCCTGCTCAGGGAAGCAAATCTCCCTGCGTTGGAGGAAAAGGCAGATTCGGAAGCTGCCCTGGGTGGGGCTTACAGCCAGTCTGCATTCTATTGGCTGCTGACGATGGCCCTGAGAGCAAAGCGGGGCCGTGAGAGCAGGTGCAAGTCAGCGGCATGCAAACAGCTCATCAAAAGCACTGCAAAAGCCATGAGATAAGTGAGCCAATCAGAGAAGCCTACAAGGCAGTATGCCTTTAAGGGAGTATGCCTTTAAGGGAGTATACCTTTAAGGGAGTATACCTTTAAGGTGAACACACACGCGCACACACACAAACTCACAGGCACAAGCAGATGCACACATACCACCAGGATGGAACAAGGAGAGAAAGTGTGAGAGTTGCCAACCTATGGGGCTCTGAGTAATCGAAGAGTTTGACTCCGAGCGTAACATTTTACTCCCGTGGTGATGAACTAGAAGAAATGGTTGCAGGGTTTGTCACGGAGAGAAGCAGTAGAAATGTTTAGCAGGAAAAAAAGGAAAAAACACAAACAGAAAATACAGGAGAGAGATAGAGAAACTTAATAGACACAAGACTGCAAAGCTTACACATTCAGCCAACTGCAGGGTGTGGGAGTCAGCCCCCCCCCCCCCCGCTACACACAAACACCACAGTCACACAGTACGTGCTGTGCTTTAACACGCTATGAGCCTTACACGCCTGGCAACATGTGAACATGTCAGTGGATGCTCTCCGTGTTCTGCAATCCCCCCCACCTGTTGTCCCGGTTCTGTGAGCTCTGCCCCACACCCACGGCGTATTTTACCTCTGCAAGGATCATTCTTCACAAGAAACTCATCCAGGGCCATCCAGCCACCGCCGACCCGCACCATCACCGTGCTGCGCAGGATCCGCACCAGTCGCAGCTGCTGCGAGTCGCCGAACTGGGGGGGGGGGGGGTACAGGTCAGAGCAGATAGGACGAGCCATCTGGCATAATGACTGTGCAAGAGCCAATCGTGCAACTTGAGAAAACTAGATTACTGAAGCAATCAGTGACGTGCACAAATTTAAACAAGCACAAAATTCCAATATATTCAAAGAGAATTTTTAATTATGAATAATTTTGAAAAGCATTGTCATCTTGTGTGAAATTTTTCTTGTGGTGATGAGTCAATCAGAATTAAAATGAAAAACAAAAACACAGATTTAATTTCCTAAATTGCTGGGCTGGTTTCTCTCTCTTGTTGCACAGTTCTGGCCATTGGCTGGTGACACAGGCAGAGACATAGTGTCACATTCCCAGAGACACAAATGGAGGGTCAATCCAACTGGACAGAACTTCTCAGGATGGGCTGATTGCGGATGTCATTTCACTGTGACCTAAGTGCTGTATGAGCAGACCAATGTCGTCCGCTGTCTCCTTACTGGCTGGGCCTTAAGCCCCTATCTTAAGCTACCTTGGTAAAACAATGTAGATCTAAGGCAGGAAAAGATGCTACTCATATGCTGCATACATCTGTTTCACTAAACTGTTCATATATCACAGAATTTGCATACAGTCGCCCCTCCAGCCAAAAATGTATAAACTATACCAAAAAATCACATGACCAACCAATCATATAACCAAAAGCTTATTTTTGGGAAAAAAATGAAAAGAAACAGATCTGAGGGACCTACATAACTTGGCTGGAGTACGCCGACTTGGTCTTAACAACCAGCCTCACTCACGCGTAAGCTGGCCTGCGACCGTGGAACGTCATGTTTCTCACAGCAATGTTTAAACTTTCCAGTGCCGTTAATTTTGCATTTTTAATAATGGACCCAAGTATTAATCTCAAATTTTTCACATTTGTGGGGGAGCATGAATATGAAGGGGTGACTGTATATATAGATTTTTTTCCTTTGGCCACTAGGGGGTGTAACACGCCAGACTAATGTAAAATGTTTTGGCCAATCTGAATGCTGGGGTGTTACTGGTTAAGAGTTTATACAGTACAGGGGGAACATGGCCAAATTGGGCGACACGCTCTGCTGGTAAGTCAGCCAGTTGGATGTGGCCATGGAGAGCAATATCACACATCACACAACAGTTATGGACTCATGCTTTCTCCCTTAAAAAAAAACAACGAACAAAAGTCTCCTGTAGGTCGACAACAAGAACAAGGCTGCACTCTGTCACTACCAACCACCATATTCAAAACTGATGTGTTGACAACAATGTGGTCCACAGCATCTAAGCTCCAATGGGAAATGAGGAAACGAAATGGGGGATGGCTCCTATGGTCTTATTAACCAATCACAGTGTCACACTCAACACCACCACATCTCAATGACCTTCTAGTGGACATCTGTCATTAAAACAGCCTCTTTCTGGGTTTTCCCCACACTTGTCTTACATACGAGTCAAGTAATGATTTAATGTCATGAATCTGGTGAATCAGATAAATTTGGTGATCAGATAAAGGGGGATGTTTTTTGGAGAATGATCTGGAAGGAGAGTCACATCAAATGCTGAAAAATGACCATTTACCAGTATACAGCTTTCCAAAACGGCAACGTGAAGCTGTGGGGATACATTTTGACTGTCCCTGTTTGTTATAGTCTCATCGGCGATTAAAGGGTCATGTAAGCAGTGTACAAGACCAAACTGTTAAAAGAATTGTTTCAGCACTTAGCGTCAGAGTGGGTCACATGACACAAATGTAAGGAATTAAAAAAACACAACACAGGTCACAAAATTCAGCGTTCATCAAATCCCCATAAACTCCTAAGAGCGTTCAGTAGAGCAGAACTTCAGAAAGCAGGTGGCCCATGAGAGTATGGTTTATGAAGCCTGGATGTCAGCATACACTGGGGTCAATACCAATTAGTTTAAACAAAAACACGGGAGCAGAAGCAAGAGAATAGGAAACAAAAGCAAACATAAAATCCTCTGTCAAGCTGTGAAAGAAAAAACACAGGCATGCTTGCAGGACTGAGGAGACCAGCAGAGTGACTTCAGTGCCAAATCAGGGCAGATGAGCAGCACACCCATGGAGGGAGCACACAGTGATGGCCCAAAAAGCCCCAGCCCTAAACCCAGGGGAGGACTAAAGAGTGAGCTGGAAAATGGGAACCCGGAAACATGCAGTATTTATCATCACTAAGCGGGGGGCCATAGGGGACCTTCAGTAAGTCGCATACAGAAGCACTGGGATCATTTACCAGTTATCACGATGGCAGTGCTAACGAGAAAATGCTCAATCTCCCCATCCGTTTCCCTTCTTCTAACCCGGATGGTTAGAAGAAGCACCCTCATACTGCACTAAACACCAGTGTTGTCATTGTGAGTGACAACATCCGAAAGCTTATAGGGAAATACTTTGTGCTTTGCTCCCAAGTCCAAGCCTGACCCTGCCCTTCTCTTCTCCACTGACGCCACCCCATTGTGGGTGCCAACTGCCTATTGTGCAGATAGGACAAATGGCACATGACACACCCCTGCCCCTCCCACTCCAGCACCTGCATTTGGCTTTTCCCACACTTAGGCTGGCCAGACAGGACCAACAGGCACTATGTCTGAAAAAATGGACTGGGAGCCTATCGGCCCGGGATCAAGGAGCATATTGGGCCGGGAGCCAGGAGCCTATCGGCCTGGGATCAAGGAGCATATTGGGCCAGGAGCCAGGAGCCTATCGGCCTGGGATCAAGGAACATATTGGGCCGGGAGCCAGGAGCCTATCGGCCTGGCATCAAGGAGCATATTGGGCCAGGAGCAGGGAGCCTATCGGGCTGGGATCAAAAAGCATATCGGGCCAGGATCAAGGACCATATTGGGCTGGGATCAAGGAGTATATGGGCCAGGAGCAGGGAGCCAACCGGGCAGAGAGCAGAACACCTATGGGGCAGGGAGCCTATCGGGCCTGGGGCGGGGAGCCTATCGGGCCGGGAGCAGGGGGGCCTATTGGGCCAGGAGTGGGGAGCCTATCAGGCCGGGATCAAGGAGCATATTGGGTTGGGAGCCAGGAGCCTATTGGCCCAGGATCAAGGAGCATATTGGGCCGGGATCAAGGAGTATATCGGGCCAGGAGCAGGGAGCCAACCAGGCAGAAAGTAGAGCACCTATGGGGCAGGGAGCCTATTGGGCTGGGAGCAGGGAACCTATGGGGCCTGGAGCGGGTTGCCTATCGGGCCGGGAGCGGGGAGCCTATCGGGCCAGGAGCTGGGAGCCTATTGGGCTGGGAGCAGGGAACCTATGGGGCCTGGAGCGGGTTGCCTATCGGGCCGGGAGCGGGGTGCCTATCGGGCCGGGAGCGGGGTACCTATCGGGCAGAGAGAACCTATTGCGCAGGGAACAGGGAGCCTAGGCCTAGTGTGCCTATCCACAATAAGTCTATCGACTTATCAATTCAGAACGGCTCACTGACAAGTATGACAAGCTTCAGATGTTAATAGAGCAGAAAAGTAAATAAAACAGAAAATGTGATTAAATTAAGCCCAGTATTGCATCACAGATAAAAAAGAAGGGGCTATACCTGATTTCCGAGGTAGAACTGCAGATGACAGGGACAATAAAAAAGAAAGAATCCATTAGTTTCCCGCACAGCACACTTAGGAACACTTGTACTTGCAGTACCAGGTCTTCTCTTAGTGAGATTAAAACATGTACCGAGGTGAGAGATCACTATGAATGTGATCTGCAAGATTCATACGAGCTGCAACAGCGTTGTCAGCATGCTAACATGCTAAGTGAACTTAGCTCTCACACTGTCCAAGGGACCATGTGTCCTTACAGCACATAGATGATGTATGAGGTCATGCCGCTTGGCAGAGAGGGAGGAGCGCCACAGAGGTCCGTCTCGGGATACATTTAACAGAGAGGGACGCAGGGAAAATGGCCAAGTTTCCACTGCTCGAGCTGCCGTCCCGTTTCCTCCCTAGACCCCTCTCTTCATCATCGGGCTCAAAATGAGTGACCCCCCCCTATATTTCTGCAAGCTGCATTCTTTAGATGTTGAGTCAGTGAGCTTGCGAATCACCCGGCAGAGAGACGCCGGGGGCACCTTGGAGAAATGGGCCCCCAGTGGACTCATCTTCCGGAAATCATTACATGTTCCCAGAAGGTGCCTCTGACACACAATCAACTGAGACGGACAAGGCTGTCGGACCAACGCCGGTATCTTACCCGATACTTGTTTGCACCGATTTGTTCCACCTGGAATCGTTTAGGACATTTACATTTTGCGACTTGCCGTGTCACCTGTGGGGAGGAGGGGGACAAAATATATAAGTGAAGTAGGAAATCTTTGTCATGTCAAGAATTTCTTTAGGCAAGCTAAGCTAAACACCTCATCTTCGATTTTGTCAGCATCAGTGAGCGGTTTGTACGCGTCCTTGTTGGGATGCAGGGCAGCCACGAACTCATAGTAGTCGATGTAGCCATCGCCGTCGCGGTCAAAAATGTCCGCTACTGCGCTCATTTCAAGTCGACTGGTGGGGAACTCTGGAGGTGTGAATGGCAGAAACACTGTGGTCAGCCTTGGGTTTCTCAGAACTGCTAGTACTTCTGGTTTCTGACCAGCACTAGAAAACTTACTAGAGGAGAGGATGCCTTCGATGAATTCCTGCCTGGTGACCTTGCCGTCCTGGTCCTTGTCAATGCGACGGAAGAAGTCCATGACGCGTGACTTCTTGTGGTTCATCCACCTCATGTAGCGTTTCCGCCATACGTCAAAGTCAAAGTTGGCAAACTCCTTCAGCTAGAAAAACATCCAGGAATTGTGTTTATATTTCAGCAATTTGGTGAAACTCCCATGAAAAAAAGTGTCACCAACATGTTACTTTTTATTCCCTGCAAACCATTCCTCCTCAATCCAACTCTCCTTTTGGTCAGTGAACACTGTATTTCATTTCCTTGTCTAGTGTCTGCGTGCTGGCGGCAGGTCACATGATGCTGTGCAGAAGTGGAGGTTAATGTCCATTCAGCTACTGGATCATCAGCTAATAAACACTGGCTTGTCCATATGTTTGACTGCAAATTGCGATCTACCACTGCAGTGATGGCAAAATGATAACATAACCCAGACTGAAAAAGTGCTTTAGATCTGAGAATCTCTCAGACCTATAAAGACCAGCTCAAAACAAGCACTTACACATAGGAAAGACTAAAACTTGATCAGTAGTATGCAGATATCACTCTACACAATCCCCTAATGGAAGCTCCATGAGGGGCTCTAAGGAGACCAGCTAACCATGACATCACTTGAGGATGTAACACACACCTCCTCCAGCCTGTCCAAGGCATCATTGAGTTTCCGTCGTCGGTCCAGCGCCAACAGCCACACTTGCTGCCATTTGCTGACCAGGAGATTAACTCTGGGATTCTTGGTCTCAATTTGGGTCTGAGAGGCTGATGGGTACATCCCTTGGGTGGGAGAACGCTTTCCTGAGATAAAAGGGAAAAAGAGCCATTGCAATCAAAAGGTGAAAGTTCCAGTCTCTACAGACAGAATTATGGCATGATTCCTAATGTCGGCTGTTCAGCATCCACATCCAGCCAGCTGCAGACTCACTTCCAGTGCGACCTTTATCCAGGATCGGAATTTGGGACTGGATTGGCGTTTCTGCCTTCCTCTTATGTGTCTTCGTAATTTTGTCCACATCTGGCTGCTTCCGAGTCATTTCCTCCATAAACGTCTAACAGACAGAGAACAGGGACATTTTTAGACAAAACAGACTACGTAAGGTCTCAGTAGTAACATTTCGGTAATTTGATTTAGCTCTAGCTGGATCTATGGTCCAAATAATGAATGTACATGTAAGGAAAATGACTCTGTAATCAGAATAAATGAGAAAATTAGGACAATCTGCACAATGAGCATACAGGTGTCCAAAATGTTCTCATCTCAATCTCTGGTGCAGCAAGCAGATTTCTGGAATGTTCCAGATAAAAAGCAGACTCACTTGATGCTCTGCGATGAGCGCCTTGACCTCCTCAATCTCCTGAGGGAGCGGCTCCTTGTCCTTCTCACTGAGTGTGGTCTCAGCCCACTGCAGCCATCCCAGAAGCTTCTCCAGAAGCTCCTGGGTGGCGAGCAGCTCACTGAGGGCACTTCCTAACCTCTGCTGGTGCTGCCTCGCCCAGGCCTGGACCTGGTGGTCCACAACAAACCAGGAGAGGATGGTCCATTTCATAGGCACTAATTACCAAAGACTCACTCCTTATTCCGATCAGTCTCACAAAAATCATAATTTTTGCAACACTGAGGTGTTCAAAAAACATCTTCATGGTTATTGTGCCACTCTTGAAATAATTATACCCAGACAAACACACAACAGTGACTCTCATTCAGTGATGGATGAGGGGGCTGTAACTCCCCACACCAAACTCTGCAGTAACACCCCTCGGGGTGATCGCATGCTGCTACCGACCTCCTCAAATCGTGCTTTAATGATGGTGTTCCAGTGTTTGATGGTGGTGATGGAGTCTGGGTGACAGATGGCCAGGATGGCTTCCCCCATGCCCGCTGCTTTGGTCAGTGCCACACGCTTCTCCTCCAGCTTTTTCATGAACTCCTGCAGCATAACAAGACGTGCCTCCCATTACCCATTGGCAGTGTCTGTGGTCAAGGTCAGTTGGCCAAGGCACCATTCTTCTAGCTAATCCATGTCAAATTATTCTAAAATGAATAATACATGCAAGTGGAGCAGAAAATTTAGATTCAAACATGAGATCATTCTCACAGAAGACTTAATATTGTAGGAACAGCCTAAACTTGGTAAAAGAACATTGAGGGAAAAGTGAGTTTGAAAAATCCTTGTATGGCAATATGTATAGCCAACAAAACCGGCTGTTTTTTTTTTTTATCTGTTGATCTAAAAATACACATTTTTAAAAACAATACCACAATTCTTTCTTGATCCTAACCTATATCTGTTGGTAGAGGTTTGTTCAATGACACAAAGGCTAATGTAAGGCATCCCATTCAGTGCTTGGTGCCTGGTTCTATACTGATGAGTCCTGTCGGCTTTTTGGTTTAACACGGTACCTGTAAGCACCCACGTTGGGAGGGCATACGGGTTAAAGATGACCATACAGTGCCACTATGGCACTATAACGGGCTTCATTAGCCATGGCCTTTTTACGGTGGAACTGAAACGGCGGACACTCACCTTGTGCTGCTCGATTAGTGAGAGGAGAGCTTCTTGGTCATCAGGAAGGGTGCCATGGAAACGCAGACTCTGCTCCGCCTCAGCCAGCCACTCCAGGAGGATGTGGACCGTGGAGTGGAACTCCTCTGCCTGAAGGGTGAGGTGAACCCCATGGAACAAAAGGGTCACACAGAGGTCACAAAGAGGTCACAGAGAGGTCAGCATCATAAATGCGGAGTGGAACACTTCTGCCTAGGGGGATGGGACCATGGAACAAAGAGGTCATGCAGGGATTGTACAAGGGTCATACAGAATCTATCAAACATGCATTTGTGTTAGTATACGCATACCCCATAGCAATGCCTGAAGCATTTACAAATCAGGGCTAAAAAAAGGGGCTGAAACATGAGGGGCAGGGACGGTAGAAGGCCATGGGGGGCACACACCTGGCATAGTGCCTGTTCCAGCCGCGTCTGCTTAGACACAGAGAGCGTGCAGACTGTCTCCCAGCGGGTGCTCAGCTCCTGCATCTGCACTTTGACCCATGAGGAGTCGTCATGGCTGCCCTCGATGAGCTCGCGGGCCGAGCGCTTCAGGGCCTGCACGCTGCCTGTACGCTTGCCCAGCTCCTTCTGGAACACCTGCTCAGGGAGGGGGGACACGGCTCATTTGAAAGGCCAGTGCGACACATGCAGCCGAATATGACCCCCGTGAGGAATGCAGATGCTGGCAGTATGATGACAGACATTTATACTACACTTCCATACAAAACACAAACAAGAAATGAGGGGACAGCTCATCATCTCAGCTAGTGTGGCTGAGCGGGTCAGAACCCAGTGCTTGCAAGCCAAGCTCAGTGTGAAAATCTATTCCCGGGCAGTTACTCAGAAATTCCATCATCGTGCCATTAGCGTCACGGTTGTTAGCAACCGTAATTCTGACAAACACACTTTGAAGACAAAGAACAATGCACCATCTGTAACTTCATTAAACCTTCGATGCGGCTTGGAGACGCTAAAAATAACAATGTAAACAGCGAAGCTGTGCTCCAAACATCACTCAGTAAGGAGCATCACGTGGCAATGCCAGACCACACTCTCGTTATCCTCCCTGGAAAGGCTTAATTACCGACGTGTTGCTCTTAATCCAAGCTGCTGTCGAGACATAAAGCACATGCTTCCAGTGCAAAAAGTGAGGCCAGGCGTCATGCGCTTCACTTCGAAGTACGAAGAAATACGCCGAACTGTAACAGCAGACTAGCAGTGTGCCCGGTTCAGAAGGGGGTGACGTTGACTGCCAGGGTGACGGCTGGGGGTGACCACGGGTGAGACGCACCTTGTGGCTGTCGATGAGGTTCAGCACGAGGTCGATGTCTCCATGTACAGGCTGATCTTCTGCCAACTGGGGCTCCACTTTATAGAGCCAGTCAATCAGGGCCTGGAGGGCATCAGTGAACTGGCCAGAGAAGAGCAAGGCCTCCTCCAGTTTGTTCTGTCTGCAAGGAGGTACACAAATGAGAAGATTAATGCTGCTCTTCATAGGATCTGACCCCCGAACCATCAGCAGGTCGTGTTTACCACCAGACTTCTGATAGAAGCCTCACTAATCCAGGTCCCGCAATGTCCCTATGACAGTTGCAGAGTGACATTTGACCCCCAGGGCATACCTTTCCACAGACTTCCCGCACACTGTGTCCCACTTGTCCCTCAGCTCGCTCAGCATGTCGTCCAGCTTCTGCTTGTCATCCTGCAGGGACGTCTTGTCCTTGAGGGCACGGCCTGTACGCGTCGTGGTGTCATACACGGAGTGCTTGCTTCCCAGAGCTTTCTGGAACTCCTGAGTATACAGCCATCAATCCCCGAAGAAGGAACATCATTAGTGCCCATCCTCAATGTACATCTCCTACCTTCAAGATGCAGAAGGATCGTTTGAAGGAGGACAACACTTTCAAACATCTAGACGTTTTGGTCTCTTAATACACACATACCCCAATATTTGCAAACATTTTCTCTATCTAACATGGGATCGTACACTTACAGACATTTCACTAAAACCACTGTGAATAACTATCTCTCAGCTCATGACATCTGCCCTTTTCATAACCTTGTGAACCTAAGACAAAAGCCATCATTTCAACTATGATTTCTACAGTTTAACTGACATCTCTTACCAAACGGAAATGTCTTTTTCTGCATGGCTGTCGGCCTTTAGGCAATGACTTCTCGTTAAATGATTTTAACGAGAGAGGACAATTAAAGAGATTTTTGGTTAGAGCAGCTGTGCACAGGTAACTGAAGGTGGGAACCGACCCTGAGTCATAGAAAATCAAAGGAATGAGGTGTCCACAGCAATGTGCTTTTCCACCTGCTGGGCCAGACATGGCCTTTGGTGTTAGTCAGTACCAGTCAAACGCTGAGTGTCGCTAATGATTTGGCGGCAAACATTGGGCTTTCCGGGTCATTATGAGGGGAAACAGAGCTGGTCTTCTTGCTCAGTGCTGACGGCATGTGTTTTTAGGGGTTAGGGCAGGATTCTGTAAGTGGTGCCAAACGGTCTGTCACAGAGTCAAAGGGTGACAAAGCCTTATCACTCTCCGCTGTGCACTGAGCACCCAGAGGGGGGCAGCGGTGATTCACATGGAGCTAACCAGGTGATACCTTAACTAGGTGATACCTTAACCAGGTGATACCTTAACCAGGCGACCATGGGAGATAAAAACCTTTCACAAGGTCTTACAGTCAGCATTGGCGGATTCTCGTTAACAGCTAACAGTTACCTTGTGCTGAGCGAGCTGCATCTTGATCTTGTCGGGGTCGTTGGCGATCTCCAACTCCGAATCCAAGGCCTTCTCCGACTCCTCCAACCATTCTGTGAGCTTGTGCCAGCTTTCGTGAAACTTGGAAAGACAAGAAAGGCCTTTTAACATAAATATTTCTATTGGGCTTTTTATTAACAATACCTGTTGGGGAAATGTGGCCCATTTTTAGTAGGTCTACATATGAATCTCATCTGGATGCGGCAGTTAACCCTGATAAATTTGATTTATTCTACCACGGACACTGAGATCAGTTATTACGCAGAATCTGGCGTTTTTCTTCTTTATTATTACGGCTGAAACATGCAGAGATAAAACTGTGAAAGACTCATGAGTGATGACTCCTAGCTTTGTTTAGATACAAATAGCCATAAAGTGCTTTTACTGTGAATTAATGTGAATTAATGGGTTGACACTGACAGATAGCAGAAGAAATAAATGATGATCAGATAACCTGCTGTACTATCTGGCAACCCTGCTGGAAATTCCAGTTGAAGCCAGTATACCTGACAATCGCTCAAATGGGATTTTCAGCAGTTGGACTGGCCTTCATTACTCACCAGAGAAATTACTGGTTATTGTATGGTACGACTACTATTTCCGAGTTAAACCAACAGAATTCCTGCACACTGGTTCAGCTGGTCCTACTGGGAAGGTGCCCTAGGGAGGTCCCGGAGCAGGAGGGCTCATGCTGACCTGCTTGGCACGCTTCCTGGCATCCTCCAGCAGGCGGCCGCGCTCCACCGAGCGCTGCACCACCTTCTCCCAGCGGCCCTGCACACTCAGCAGCAGATTCTTGATCAGCACCACATCCTGCTTCTGGCTGAAGTACTTGAGGTGCGTCCCTGTCTTGTCCAGCTCGATGATCTGCTCCCGATGGGCGTTCACCTCCGTCACGAACACCTGGCAACCACGACATGGACACTTCGTGAAGACTCATTGGTCCATAGGCCCAGTCTAGGGAGAGTTTATCTCTGCATACAAGTTGAGTTCTAAAAAGCACCACATTTTTTCACCATAATTCCAGAGCTCTCAGTTTTGTATTTTGCAGTTGACAGGGCTAGCTATTTCTGCTGACGCTGCAGACCACACTGATCCATCGCCAGCACATGCTCCTCATGGAAAATGCGCTCCATAGGAGCACCATGCACATGTCCCCAATGCCCTGGCCAACCTTGTGTTCATCAATCTGGAACATAATGGTCTCCAAGATGAGGGAGGCTGGTGAAGCCATGGTGAGCCCCTGCTCGGCCTGCGTCAGCCAATTGATGAACTCCTGCAGGTTGTTGTGGAACTCCATGGCCAGGCTCAGTGCCTCCTCCAGTTTGACCTACGTGGGGGAATGGGAAGTTAATATTGCCATGCTGAGCCCTCATCTTCCCCGTTTCAGGAGAGCCATCTCCAGGGCTATCATGCTGGATTAAGGCGAAGGATACTTTTTTCAGAGAGACTGATTAAATCATTAGACTCTAATTCAGTCTGCGCCAAATGGAAATTTCAGTTCACGGATATATTCAGTAAAGCCTAGAAAATTTGTCTCAGTATTAAACAAAACAGTGTTTCTGCAGTGATAGTACAGTTGTGCCAAAGGATTAACTGAACAACAGTTACAGTAAATCCCAATTAAATCCATTCACTTATAAATCTAAGACGTATCTCTGGGTAGGTTCCTGTCCGCGTTTATCAAACGGTCCGGAAATCCGGAGAGAGACCAAATTGGACTTTAACGAGAACCGTCAACACAGGAAAAGCCCAGCAGCATGCTTCATCCGCTACGCTCGGAGCCAGCAGCCACACGCGGCGAGGCTTATTTCTGGATCGCCCCCGTCTCTGATGGCGAACAGCATGGTCATGGTTGGTTCATTGTGGAGACCATGTCATTTGGGGCCAAAGGGGCCAAGCTAGGGCTCACAGGAGAATATCACGCCACTCCATGCCAACATGTGTGTTCTGCTCGTCTGACGGGATCCCGCATCATGCAGTGGCCATCTTCCCCACGTCCCCTGCAGTTACTTATCAGCTCAGAGGAACTGATCCAGCCATAAATATACAACCATAATGTTCTACATATTCCCTGATCTTTAGAAGCTAATAAACAGCACAATTGCATTATGTAAGGAAATGCCCTCAACCTCTGATAAGGTTAGGAATTCCTCCTGTTATGTAGACCATTTTATTTGCCACAGCGGGTGTTGTGTTAATTTTTCCACATGCTATCTTGCTCACTTTTTCTAAGACATATACACACATACAGGGGTTGGACTGACTACTCAACCCACCCTGAGAACGGAACCAGCGACCTTCTGATCACAGGCACAGAGGTCCAGCCCATCCCACACAAACATGAACAGCCATCCCCCCAAAGAGCGAAGCCACAGGGGAGAGGGCCACGAACCTTCCTCTCCGCCATCTTGGCCTGGACGGACTCCCACTTCTCCCGCAGGTTCCTCAGGTCCAGCTCGGTGTTGCTGTCCTGGCCCTCAGGAGCCTTGGTGAGCAATTGCTGACCTTTCAGCATCAGCTGCTGGTAGAGCTCCTCCTTGGCCTCCAGGGCACTGCACAGCTCCTGAGGAGGAGACAGAGCCCAGAAAATCAATGCAAATCCAATCCATTGACTGAATACACTCCATTTCTATCCACATCTTACACATTTAAACACAGTTGAACACAATCAATCATGTCCACCACGGTCACACACAGTCAAACATGGTAAAACGCAGTCGAACACAGGCAAACACAAACACAGTCAAACACGGTCAAATATGTCAGAAAAACCATGAGGAACACAGCTGCTCCGCAGCAGGTCTGCATTAGCTAGTTCTCTACGCTGCACATTTCGTAAAAAGACAGCATTCATGCATCCAGGTCCAAACACAGTATGTTACATAAACCTTATTGCGTAACTAAGGCTTGTTTCAATATCTAGTCTCAGTAATCAGTCTACATATACATACAATAAGAAGAACAAATACAGAATAAGCAAAACACTTCAATATACTTACCAAAACATATAAACTATCCAGACATCGAAGACTTACGGTCTCTCTACACATCCTCACTGTTTAAACATCCATATTTATATTAATGATGCTCACTAATACTCAGACATGTTCAGATCTCATTGCCAGACTGAAGGTCATCACGCGTGACATAAAAAAGGTGAATTTGTTTCCATCACATGGCACGATTACAGCTTGCTGTAAACAAAGCCAGTATCTGCTGTGGTTTGTATTAAAGGGTTTCATGTTTAATCAGGTAGATTTGTTGCCGTTTTACAATCGTGACTCTAGAGAGTGCTTTTTCTAACCAGAGAAAGTTAACAGAGCCCCATAATGATGAGTAATGTCACGCTGCACGTAACGGTCTGATAACTTTATCATCGGAATGATTTGGAGCTCTCCCCCCGCCTCCAGCGTCAGGGCCAAAGCTAAACCTCCCCCCGCCTCCAGCGTCAGGGCCAAAGCTAAACCTCCCCCCCC